AGCATAGACTCGCACGCTGGAGATAAAAATGTATTTTTTTCTGTACAGTGTTGCCATTGCTTGCTTTGAAATCAGTGAGTTTGTTGATCACAAATTCTTTAAAGTATTACAGAATGCAAAATAGATAACAAAACACATTCAAAATTTAAAATTTGGGCTTCCAGATGCCTATCAAGTAGAGGATCATGTTATTCAAAATTTGATAGCTCTTGGTACCATCGTTTTTTCACAATGGGAACAAACATTACCTACATTCATGCACATTCTCTTTTATTTCTTTTAACCCTTTGTGGCACATTGTGTCCAGTCTGGACACACCTAAAAATTTCCTTCTGTATGCACAGAAAAATTGAATGAAAAAGTATTTATAGGTTACTATAGGTTACTCTGAACCTTCTTAGTAGATGGCAGCTCAACACAAACCAGTCCATGTATTTTAGCCATGTTTAGTTTTTTAAGACCCTCACTTTTCAAAGAAATCTTCCAGATTTTTTAGGGTATAAAAGGAATTGTTCGAGAAGAAATTTCTATGTCATTTTTTTGGCTGCATGCTAATCTCCTTATTGTGTATTAGTTTTAAATTTTTACCTTGAAATCTTGCCTAAAATCATACGGTGACCCTAGATGTGCCTAGACCGGGCTCACCGATAATCTAGGACAACTGAGAGTTGGTATTCTTTGTTTCTCCGCATCTCATCGGTCAGTTCATTGACAACAATACTCGTTTCAGCACTCTTTTCGAAGCTCTATTCAATCAGTGTGCAAACTTTGAGCACACCCACAGAATTAAACGATAAGTGCTATCTTCACAAAATTTTACTTGTGTACTCCTCTAGGCCTAATTAGACTGCCTACCTTTTGTTTTAATCAAAACTCCAACTTTAATAAGTAGCATGCTGGAAAGGGTTAAAATAATACAGGGTGATAATATTTGGTGCAAGAATTTGAAAAGCGATTCAGCCTATTACAGTAATTCAAGCAAAATTATGTTTCGTGACTAATAGCCCTTCTGAGCTAACATTCCTTTGGGCTAATGATTAAAAATATTTAAATGAAATTTATGTAATGCACAGATCCCATTAATTAATTTAATAACCAATTATTTTTAATTCCATTAAATTTAAATTTCAGTAGCTTCATAAAATAAAAAAAATATATTCAAATGTACAGTAAGATAGTAAGAAAAAGAAATGATTTAAACAAGCAATTTTAATGGTACCATCAATAATAGCTAACAAAAAGTGACAGATCGCATACTACATTGTTTCTTCAAAATCACTGATAACAAGGTTCAGAGAAGTGAGGGTGAGAACAGGCAAATGACTTCACAGTAGAGCAGCATCAGTTCAAATTTTCCCTTAAAATCTCTTTTAAAATGTTAAAAGACACTACAAAAATAACAATCAGATTAAGTTGCATAAATTTGCAAGACTGTAGTTTCAAATGTTAAATGGAAACTTCTTCAACTATAGGAGAAAAAAGCTGCAGATCGCCTTCTTTTCAGCAATTTTTTTCCCCCTTTTCTGATGCTGAAGAAGCGGGTTCTATTTAACTTTCAAAATTATTATCCTCCAAATTTACACAACTTACACATTCTGTTTGCTATAGTATCTTAAAGATATGTTCTTCAGCATGCGGTTTTTTTTTTTTTTTTTTTTTTTTTTGGCTACATCTTTTGGCAAATTTTCTGAAAAAAAAAAAAAAAAAAAAAAAAAAAAATTGTCTACAGATACATCCTAAAAATTGCATATGGGAAGAGATAAGCACCATATTTCCAGAAAAGACCAGTTTCACCAACATAATTGAACTTGTACTGGTAATAAATTTTTGCCATTATTTGTTGATAACTTAGAAAATCAGTTCAATATGTTCACACTTTATGTAAATTTTGATTTTGTTCTCTCCAAGAGGGCACCTGCAAGTGCCAAACTATATCTATTGTACCAACTTGTTCTTCCTCGATAAATGCAATAATGAACATGTGTGTCTACTTTCCATCCACTTTACATGGTCCGTCGAGAGCCAGCAATATGTTTGGAAGACGTGTCAAGACATTTTAAACGTTCTAAAATAGCAGGATATTTCTTGCAAAGGAAACAGATTATATTTGTGTCTGGGTGGTGAGAATAGCAGCGGAAATATGGAGTCTTTTTTAAAACAAAAGCGAATCAATAAGGGCAAGTTAACTCGTTTTATTTCACAAGTAAATAGTTTACAAAATCAAGAAAATTCTTTTTCTGTCATTGAAGTCTATGAAAGTGATGTTAGTGCTTTAGATGCTGAAGTGCATAGTTTAAACAATAACATTCTTGGTACTTGTTCTGACACAGAGTTTAATAAGTATGAAATAGAAATGCATGAACTGTTTTCTAAATCGGATGTATTAAAAAATACTTTAAAGGAAGAACCAAGAAAACTTTCTAATTCATGTCAAGATATAATGAATGCTAATGAAAATGGTTTAAAACCCTTGAGTAAAACTACCAGTGTTTACTTCTAATTATCTTGATTGGATATCATTTAGGGATTTATTTCTTGCCAGTGTTGGAAATAATAGTACATTAAGTGACAGTAAAAAATTGCAATATCTTAAGCTTTCTGTGAAAGGCGAAGCTGCTGTTTTACTACAATCAGTTTAAATTTCAAATGCGAATTATGAAAAGTACTACAATCAGTTTAAATTTCAAATGCGAATTATGAAAAGGCATCGAAAGCGCTGAACATTATGAAAATAAAATAGAAATAACAAATGCAGCATTAAATAAATTAATTTCACAGCCTGTTCTAAAACATGAACCAGCTTCAGGTTTGCGGAGATTAATTGATACCACACAACAGTGCACTGATACATTAAAAATCCTTAAACAGCCAGTACAGCACTGGGATACTAAGATTATTTTTCTGTTAAAAGGAAAACTTGATCATGAAACACTAAGAGAATGGACGTTAGAGCGAACAAACAAAAAAAATTTCTACTTTTTCTGAATTTAAACTCTTTATTTTAAACAGAGTGAATGCTATTGCTTCTTTGACAAAGCGGGAGAAGGCGGGCTTGTTTTCTGAAAATAAAACTCACAGTTCAGGTGGTAGATACGCTTTTTCATCCCAACTTGTGGCTAATTTGTGTGTTCATTGTAATTCTCATTCTCAATTATCTAAATGTGATAGCTTTTTAGAACTTCTTATCAAAGAAAAATGGGATATTATAAAAAGGAATAAATTATGTGCTAATTGTTTGAAAGATAGCAAAATGCATCCCATTTTTAAATGTCGTGCAGGCATGTGTAAATGTTGTTCACAGCCACATAATACAGTGTTATGTTCAAAAAATTCAAATGCTGAAAAGTGTCATACACCCAAGGAACACAGAACTTCTACTATTAGCAGCAATAACCCACAGTACCTGTCACACAAGCAGTTTTGTTGCGTACTGCAATTGTTTATGTTAAAGATATTAATGATTTACATAAATGCAGGATGCTGATTGGTTCAGGTAGCCAGGGCTCATTTATTCAGGAGCACTGTGTAAATTTATTGCAGCTAAAGCATACTAGTGCAAACATAAGTGTAAATGGCTTGAGCTCGCAAAAAATTGGTAAGGTTTCAGGTTCAGTTCAATTACAAGTAACATCTTCATTTTATAAAAACGCAAGCATTTCAGTTAATGCATTAATTATACCCAAGATCACATGCAACCTTCCTCAATATCAAGTTGATAGGTCTGTTTTGACAGCTTTTAAACACTTGTGGTTGGCAGATGCAAACTGTTTCCAGCCTGGCTCAATAGATATTGTTTTAGGCGCAGATGTATTTGGCGAGATAATGCTTCATGGACGTTTAACTGTTCCGGGACATTCGTTAACAGCCTTAGAATCAATATTTGGTTGGGTCATTATCGGCAAGACAAAATGTGTATCACAAACAATTATATCTAATCATGCTAGTTGTACCAATGTTAAATTTCAGCTTGAAAAATTTTGAAAATTAGAAGAAATTTCAGAAACAAAGCCTTACACAGAGGAAGAAATTGATTGTGAAAATCATTTCAAGCAGAATTTTTCTAATGCCTCAACAAGTAGATTTGTTGTTAAGTTTATATTTCGTAGGTCTAGCAGTGAACTTGGGTCATCTAGGGATGTTGCTGTACAATGTTTACAACACACTGAACGTCAATTTGTTAGGAATAAATCTCTTTCCACACAATATCACAAATTTATAAAGTACTATCAACAACCTGGTCATATGAAATTAACATGCAATCCAGAAAACAAAATTGATGTTCCAGCTAATTCTAGTTTTTACCTTCCGCACCATTCACTTCCGGATAAAAACGGTGATAAATTTCGAGTGTTATTCGATGGATTTCAAGAATATATTAATGATGCTTTCTTAACAAAGCAAATGCAATTCTCACTAACCAAACTGCATTATTAGGAAGAAATTCCAGCACAGAAATTGATCCAGCAGCAAACATGCCTGGGGGTTTCACTTGTTTAAATTATTCTTTCATCAGATTTTCCTCAGAATTGTAATTATTGCTATCGTCAAACCATCATATTCTGATCCTTGAATTTCATAGTCATCTTTCTCAGCACATACTGCTTCATGCTATCTATGAACCAATTCACCAGGTAATTAGAAAAATGCTAACCCCTCTAACAACTCATGGACCAAAAGTGTGGTCAATGGGCAAGATTAAAGGTGCAGGTATTTAAAAGTGACATGCAGGAATCTTTGACAGTCTGCAGAAATGCTGCTTTCACAGCATACCCCTTTTGGGGGTGAGGAATATTCTATTCTTCATTCCTAGACTTTAAAAGGGGAAAATTTTTTGCAAATGGTCTGGTGGTCTCCAGACATTGGAAATCTAGATTTCGGACTTTAAAAGTTGATATTAATCTTTAATATATTAAATTGATAGAACCATTCACTTGCCATAGTATCTAAACCTCAATAATCAAAATTCTCCTATACATAGGATGAGCATATAATTTACATACCTTCATCAGTGTCATGAGTGAATACATTAAGAATTCGTCCAGTTGGAGTTGTATCAAAGAAATGCATTGGACTGTGAAATACTTTCTGGAGCATCTTATCATGTAAACTGCTAGATGCACGTAATGAGGTCTAGGGGGGAGAGAAAATGATTGTCTTAAACTGCTATAAAAAAGTATTACATGTAATAAAAATGACTAGCAATGACTACATAAAATATACAGACTTACAGGAAAAATTATAACTAAGAACATAAGAACATTGATCAGTATTTGTGTTGTTATTATTTGCAAGCATTTAATGCTAAGAGAACTCAAAAAAATTAAAATTCCTAATAAGGAAATTCCATTTAAATACAAACTTTAATATACAGAATTTCAGAGAAATAACTTATTTCACTAATTAATCAAATAAAATTTGAGTAAATTACTTACTACTATTTGACACACTGCAATCGATCGCATAACTACTTACTCAATGCAATAGATTGCATTTTTCTACTGGTATGTAAGCTGCATATTTTTACAGATCAAATCTACTACAGAAGAAAATTACCAGCAAATTATATCTTACACTAGACTTAGGAACTCCTTCTATGAATTTTGATATTCATTTGAGATAAAATTTCTCTTTAATTTCATTTTTTACCAGTTAGAAGGGGGATTAACTAATTTGATAAAGGGAAGTACTGTTTCTGGCAAGCTGTTATTTGTAAATATTACAGTCAGCTCAAAAACTCACACACTCTCTTTCGGTAATGAATTTATTTAAACTGCAAATTTATAAATCTAATGCTCATCTAGTACTTAGTACATATAGACAGAGATCAATATAGAGCTCATGTAGTACTCATGAAGTAATTAACATGCAATTTTATTAAAAATTTTTTCGACTTGCATTTTCTGCAGTTTTGATATTAAGAATTTTAAAAGGCATCAGATGAGCACAAAAGCTGTATTTACAACATAAATAATAAATAACTTTTTACAGGAGAATATTTATTTCTATACTTAAGAGTACAGTTCAATAAACAGCTAATAACCACTTTTAAGAGACAAATGGTTAAATACTTCGTCTTTACCATGTTAAAGTAAAGATTGCTTTTTTTAGAAATGTTTTTCATATACTTATACACAACATTATTGGAAAAGGTATGTGTATATAATACTATCACTTAACACAAATAGTGCTAACAATCTGCATCAATCTATGCACTTTCCGTAAAATCAAAATTCCAAAAAAGCACTCACCTCATTAAGTTTATATTACTGGAGATAAAAATGCTATAATTTACAGTCATAACATAAATTATCACCAAATAATTTTTTTCAAGAAATAAAAAAAATTATTTGTTGAAACATATTTAGTATAAAAGATTTAACTCTGCTTAGATACTGATATTATTTTCAATATTCAAAACATACAGCTTACTTTAGTAAAGAGATATCCAAGGATTAAGCTGGCTACCAACATTGCAGCAACTGACAAACCATAAACTAGTTGAAAGAATTCTATGTCTGGGTGGTCAGTAATGCTTGGTAATTTATATCCCTGCTTATCTGCTACTGCTTCTAGCTCAGGAACAGATTCAAATGTATGATTCTTATAAAGAAGAAAAGAAAAAGGAATAAGTTTATATACAATTTTGCTAGAATGTTGAAAATAAAGATATGAATCGTTTTTTCAGTGGCAAAGTGAAAGCATTCATTTAAATAACATAACAAAAATTAGAAAATTTAATACTAACAAGAGTTATTTTGATGAAGTTAACAAAAAATACAATAATCTATGTAAACATGCTAAAAAACACATTTAAACATTCTGATGCAAGCATTCATATGCGACACATCTACTTTATCAGCTGGAATCTGAAAGAATAGTTTGAACAAGTTTAAGTTTCCCTTTTTTAGAAGCTCTTTTGTATAGGGTTGCTTCGTTGAGGATTGCTATATTTTTTAGGATCGATGTCCAGGTACATGAAAAATTGAAATGAAGGCCATTGTTGCAACATGGTCTTTCAGATACTTCGAAAGCATCTCTAATTTTAAGGCTGCTTTTGTACAGGGGTTTACTGATGATTTATGACCTGTCTGATTATAGATTTTCGATGTTTAGGGGTTATTTTACCAAAGATGTGCTGTTTTCATTGCTTATAGGTTAGCAGAGTGTCTGTAAATATGTCTCTTACACTCAAGAATTCTTAATGAAAATTTTCTAGACATCAAGTCAATAAACTGAGTTTCTGCATTTGTATCTTTCCTACAGATGAAAATGGCACACCTAATAAGTTTTCATTACTTGTTGTGCTAGTACCTGATGTACCTATTGCACTGGCATATGATCTATGCATTCTTAGGAATTTCTAGATGTATAAGGCTGAGGTTATGACAAGGTTGTAAAAAAAAAAAATCTTTTGAAAACTGAAGAGATGCATGGGGTGACAAAATACAGCAAAGTGTTCCAATGAATTTACTTTTGTTTGGTTTTAGTATTGGTAGGAACTTAACCTTTTCTAAATTAACTACAGAAGTTTGTCTTTTGATTTTGTAGCTAAAATTTTCAACAAAAAGGAATGGGCATCTGTTGTTTATTGAAGTTTGTAGGATGCAAATATATTTGCCTTGGCACAGTTTAAGAAAACAACATAATTCTTAAGCACTTTTTAAGTAAAAAAATAAAAGGCAGTTATTTCATAAGGAAGAAATGATCATACATAATTACTGCTGGGTTAACAGATAGTTTTACAATAGGCTGTAGTGTGAAGAGTATTGCCAGTTCTTAAGATCAAAATGTACAGGAACCATATGTTATTAATGTTATTATTATTTCTTGTTAAATTGTATGTTAGGTCAACTTTCTAACATAAAAGCACTTAAAGTTCATCTTCCGGATATTTCCATAGTTTAAAGATATAATTAATGTATCTCTTCCGGAAAAAAAAAAAAAAAAAAAAAAGTTTTTAGGTGGAACTTAATAAAAAACAAATTTTCTATGCTCTGCATATACTTTTCAGTCAAAATGGGTTAATTTAATAGTTTAGGACTGCTACTTTTTAAATAGGTTAATCCAAGTATTTTTGAGAAAAATTAATTTTCCATAAAAAAGCCTATTATCTGTTAATAAGTTTACAATCTTGCAAGACTAACACGAAAACTGGTATAATATAAATAAAAATAATTAAAAAAGCAAAGACCTCATGCAACAAAACTCTAAATGCTGAAAAACAAATTTACAGAACACATTCAGCAGCAGGTCTAATGTGAAAAGATAGATGATGTGATGATGTATCACTGAAATTATCTGATTTTTCAGATTACCATATTTTATCTCAAGATACTTATACCCAAACAGAAATAATACTATGGTTTTACACAAAAATTTCTGCCCATTCTTCTAAAATAGATAATTTCTATAACCCTAATTTATATAAAAACAGAGCTAATGAAAAAGGCCCTCTGATGTTCATCTGTGGTGAAATAAGCTGCGGTTTTTAAAGGGAATATCTTGAAGAAAATCAATGTACTCTCAATGAATTTATATCAAATATTAACTATACAGAAGACTGTCTGATGACTTATCAGTTCACCTCAAACCTTCAAAATAATATAACTAGAGCACCTAAAAAGCAAACTATACACAAAATTGTTCTCATTCACAAATAAAGAAATCTTATGCTAGAAAACTATTGAAAATACCAAAAAATGGTTCAAATAGTTCTTCAGGGTTACAGAACTGAATTACATCTGAAACAGAGAGTGTCTTCAGGTTGAATTTTACTAAAGATGAATTTGTAACTTAGTTAAAAGGAAATTGGAAAATCTTCGGTGAAGGCAAAATCCATACAGAGTTCCTCAAAACATACTGGGATTGGTGCGAGGAGGACCCTTTTAGGGGTCTTCATCTGCATCTGGGATTCAAGGCTGGTTCCTTCCATATAGCAGAAGATCACTATTATTCCCATTTTGAAAAAAAGGTAAAGTTCATAAGAGACCTGACGGTTATAGATCAATTTCTCTTACATGCATACCTGCAAAACTGATGGAACAAATGGTAATCAAGATATTAAACTAAAAACTGTGGACATCCTCTCTGATGAACAGGCTAGGTTCCGCAAAAATCGGTCAACTACTGATCAAGTTTCTCGATTGATTCAAACTATTAAGGATTGTTTAGAGAGAAGAAATATAATGACAGTGATATACGTGAATTTCAAATCCACTTTTGGCTTCACCTGGAGAGAGAGGATAACTTCTAAGCTTAAAAACCTCAAAGTAGGTTCCAAGATGCCGAGTTCATTCCGCGAGTTCTTGAGCCAGAAATGCTGTAGGATACACTATGAAAATGCTATCTCATGTTTTATACTTCAAACAAGCTTGCCACGGGGTGCAAACAGGCTTGCCGCGGGGTGCAGTTAGTAGCTGCTCCCTTTTTAACATCTACATAAATGATCTCATTCTGTTGCTGAAGACAGCTGGAGTCAGGTGTTTGTTGTTTGCAGACAATCTCGTTTTATGAACTCAGGCAGAAAAAAGAATACCAAATTCAGAATTGAGAAGAAACTAAATGAAACACTCGTGACTTTGAAGAGATGGTGTAAGGAAAATAATATACTGGTAAATCTGACAAAAATAGCAGTATAAATCTTATCCCTTATGCACCGAAATATTATTCCAAGATCTTCTATCAGAGGTCTTGTTTCACTAACAATGATAAATGTACCTACTTAGGAGTGTTTTTTGATAATAAACTGAGCTGGAGGCTCCAAATAGACTTTTTTAACTGAGATACCTGAGATAAATTTACCACACAAATCACAGGGAATAGTTGTGGCCAGTTTTAGGCTTTAAACTCGTCAGGACTGCTTGGCAAGTCATTTCTACCATGTTAGTATTCTTACTAGCCCAAAATGCCCACTTTGTGGCTTAAATGAAGAAATGGACAAGATTTGCATCGGAGGTGCCCAGCGCTGTTTGAAGCCTCTGAAGCGGAGAGGTATTGAAGCACTAGAGGCCAAATGATGAGACATCAACTTTTTACGTTATATGTTCACAGAGTTCTGTTCTGTTTATCTTATTCTCTACCACTGGAAGTTAAAAAGAAAAAAGTCAAGATGACACAGCAAAAGAAAACTTCATACACTTTCACCAAGGGTATAACATTTTTACTACTTTTCCCTAAGGCAGCAATTTTGTAAAAAAATATTGTTACACTTTTGCTCATACTAGTTTTAACAAAAGGAGGTGAATCTGGAGAGGTGAGTAAATGGCAAGAATTCATTTAATGGACTAAGCATATAAGATTTAGAGCATTAGCACTTCCAATTTAAAGTATTATATAATGATATATTTCCTTTTTAAATTTTAATAATTTTTATTTGGCCACAATCATTTTGGATTGCATTATTTAATCAAGGCAAATTACACTAGAGCTTGTTCACAGTATAAACATCTCATTAAAAGGACTTCCCCCCTTTTCTGAAGCATTTTTTTTTTTTTTTTTTTTTTTTTTTTTTTTTTCTTTTCTAATTTACAAATGTATACCTTTTTTTCTTTTCTGAAGCTTTTCCATTGGCAGAGTATAAGGGTGTTTAACTTCTCAATACTGATTCACATACTGAATACAATTCATAAACACATTTAGAATGAAGACTTATTTAAAGATATTTTTATACTTTTAACCAGCAATTTCCTTTTATTTTGACAAATTTCTGGATATATATTAAAATATTATGATAACTTTCACATGCTGCGTATTTTAAGATTCTTAAGATATCTGATAAACACAAATGCGTGTTAAACAGCAAGAAAAAAACAATTACAAACATTATAGCTGTATAAAACTTTGTTCAGCAGACTGAGCATGTGAATCAGTAATGAAATATTCAGCAGAACTTACAATGCACCCACCATACCCCATTGAAACCTGGATCCAGTACTTCTTAGTTTTGGGGATAAATCAGAATTCTAGCCGGTGAACACCGGAGCCCTAAAAAAGAAGGCTCCATCACTTCTATGTAACTGAAAACCAGTTTTATCAGAAGTTTTATTTATTACTCCCTTGTACAAAGTAAAAAGGAAGTATTGTAATCGCAAAAAGTTTCAGGCATCACATTTCAATGCAAATATCTATTTTCACCACTATCAAATGCAATTTAACGATGTTTTTGCTAGACATCTGTACATAAGGACAGGATAAAGGATTCTTTTTCCCCAAAAAATTGCAAAACTAATTTAAAATGAATTCTGAAGAGAATTTTTCCTCGCGTTTGTACGAACGTATGTACGTATCTCGTGTAACTCAAAAACGAGTAACCTCAGAACGTTTAAATTTTGTATATAGGACTACTATAACATGCAGATGTGCACCTCGTATTTTGGTAGCAATCGGCCGCGCCAAACGTATATAAATATATTTATATATATATCCACTCTTACTCAGCTCTGTGATCTTAGTTTCTTTGTTGTTATATGTTTGTAAATTGTATATTTTTTGCTTTAAAAATGATTGAATTATGTTTTTCTTATCTTCTGGTTAAGATTTTTATGCCTTTAGTAAATCCGATTGCAATATTTTTAGAATTATCAACAATTTAAAAATCATTTAAGTACCGCTAAGCCTAATAATTTTTCCCATGGCGGCCATTGCTTGTTTACATTTGAAATAGCAAAATAGTAGATTTGTTACCAATCTAGAGAAGATAAGCTTCGCAATAACAAAGATAAAGCCTTCGTTTATTATTGCAAATTAAATCATGCTTACTCCGTTTCGGAATTTATTCGAGGAAATAAGAGTTTAAGATTTACTTCACAATTTTCAATACAGACATCTTGAGTTTTAATGTATTTTTGCTTTGACGGAAAGTAAGAACTGAAATAATTGAATGGGAAATACTGAATCATCTGTGATAAACTTTTTTTTTTTTTTTTTGTTTGCTTAATTTCTTTTGTACATCGTTTTAGATTTATTATAGTATTTGAATAGAACATGTGCTAACGATTAGATAATTCTTCATATGATATAAATTTTGTGCATTCTGAGTTACAATATGGACGAAATATAGCGCTATTAAGTACACCTATTACCAGAGAGCCGCTATGGTAAACAAATATAGTGAATTTTAAAGAGTGCATTTATTCTATCATGTTTTATGCGCTCTCGACGAAGTAGATTTAATAGGGGGACCAGAAAGTAATGTCGCTTTCTTACATTAAATTCAAATGAATACATTTTTAACAAGTTTTTATTTTTAAACAGTAATATAATCACCCTCGTTATCAACAACCTTTTGCCATCTAGAGTACAGATATTCAATCCTGGACCAATAAAAATCAATTGGTTTTTGAGTAAAATATCTCGAGAGGACATTTTGGACATCATCCAAATTTTGAAATTTTTTGGCACTAAGAAAATGTTGTAGGGATCCGAATAAATGGAAATCCAATGCTGCGATATTGGCCAAGTATGGTTGGTGAGTATGGCAGTACCACTTACCACCCCAATTCATTAATTTTTCCCAGTGTTCGTTTTGCACAGTGCAGTCTTGCATTGTCGTGTTGCAGAATGACGCCTTTTCTGCTGACAATTGATATTTTTCGATTAAGATTGGTTCACTCCATCCAATTGTTCACAATAAGGTCTGCATTAACAGTTTGTCCAGGTTTTAGCAATTCAAAATGAACAATTCCGCGAATACTCCACCAAACACACAGAAGCGCCTTTTCGGGGTGTAAACCCTTTGTAACCCCCCTATTAAAACTGCCTTTTGAGATTTGGATTATCATATAGAATTTATTTTTTGTCTCCACTAATCAAACAATCAAAAAATCGTTCTGTATGCTGCCGTTGAAGCAATACGTTGCATGTGATCGATAGGTTGGCTTTGTTCTTTTTGGACAGATTATGGGGGACTCAAACCCCTGCTTTGCTTATTTTTCCATTCTGCTTTAAATGTTCTTGGAAGGTAGATCAAGGCTGGTTAAGAGTGTTTGACATGGATTTGCTTCCACTTCTGCCCTTAGCATGTTGTTGTCAGCATGCACAGAAACGACATTACTTTCTGGTCCCCCTATTAATTCAATCCAATAAATTTAAATGAAACGCAAGAAAAAATGGGTATAATTTAATATCCTGTACAAGGAAGTCATGTGGTGCACACATCAGATTTTTTTTAATAATAAAATTACATTAAAAAAAAGACTCTCACTTCTGAATGCATGATTCTCTTTCCTTGGAAAACAAATCCTTGAATGGAGGTCGAAACTTTTAAGGGGTATCAGAAAACCCCTATACCGACAATGTTAAAATGGCCGTTTTCGATGTACCTTTTCTCAAAATCTGCCGTAGATAGAAGCTTGAAATTTTTTCTGTAATTAAGTATACCTATCTGATTATACTGAAATGAGCTTTTGAAGCATTTTGAACTTTAGAGTAAATTACAGAATATTTTGTTAGTCATAGTAAAATTTAGCACTTTCTCACACAAAAGAATTTTAAAAAAAATATTTTTCTAAGTTTATTACAAAAAGCTCATTTCAGTAAATATTAGGGAACCTAATAAATAAGCCACAAAAAATTTAGATACCTGTGAGCAGTAGTTGCTGAGAAAAGGTACATCAAGTATAAAAAAATCACGTTTGGAGAAAAACCCGTTTTTATGAAAAAATTCTCATTGATCAAAGCAGTAGATGACAAATTAAAATTAGATTTTTTTACAGTTCTAATTTTCATAGAGATTAAAGAATGGTATTTTTAGAAAGATAAAAGTGTAGAGAATTTGAAAATGCAAAACTCCGAAATCACAATTTTTTGAAGATTTTGGGGTTCCAACACCCCTTAAGGAAAGAAACCCTACCCACATATCAAAGGCTTATTCTCCAAAAAGTACAGTGAATTTATGACAGATGGAAAATTTTCCAACACTAGAGTCTTCCTGCAGAAAAAAGTATCTGCAGACTTTCTGTAACTCTATCACTTGTTACCTTTTCCTCAGCTAACCTTGGATTCGAGGAAAATTTTTTTCGTCACATTCTGATTCAGAGTTAGAATTATACTGACAAGAGATCATGGTTAGATTCTTCTGTCTTTGTTTTAATACCTATACATCCTCCGTTAAAATTTTCTCCATTTCTGTTACTGTTTATAGTAACAGAAATTTTCTTCATCTTTAGTCTCATTAGTGATGCTTTAACCATTTTAACATTTTTCTTTAGTGTGGGAAAAAATTGGTCTTTTTTCTATTATCCCTTTGAAGCAGTACACTATATTCAGACATAAATTGAGCCCAAGACCGCTTTAGCTATTTCTTAGTTTTAGTTTGAAATTGTAATTCGATCCTGAACCCAAAATAAATCATGACAAGTACTTTATTATTTAACTATTCATCATTTATTTAAAAACTTATTAAATTTTTATTTATCTCTTTATGTTTTGTTAAATTTTGATTTTAATTGTATAATTATTCTAATCATTAATAATATAATTATTCTGATCATTAATTCCTTAATTATTTTAATAAATTATTTAATTTTTAATTACTTTATTATTTTATTAGTCATTTTATTTGTTGTTCCTCTTTCCTGATGATCTTCCATAGGGCTCCGGCACTTTCAGTTCTAGAAATTAAGCCCTGATATCAAGCATTGGTAATCTTAAAATTATGTTCTTAATTTGATGTTCATAGTGGAGGGGGGGGCAAAAAAATCTAGTTCAGTAACTTTTTTAAACTATTCACGGATATGGATTTTAAGATCTTAATCTTTTCAGCTTTTTTTTCTGGAATATTAAGTTGAAAAACTGATATGTTTAAGCCAAACATTATTCCTATCTCATTTGTTCTAGACAAAGTTACTGAAATAAGAATGCTAGAGTTGTGAAAATAGTATTTTCATTAGCTAAAACTTTTGAACTTTACATTCTGCTAGTTCATTTCTTCAAACAGAAACATTTAGTAAGTACTCATTTTCAATAAATTTATTATAAGAAAATATGTTTGACACTGCTACAACAATGAAGAAATGAAGAAATATTTAGTTTCTTTAATTCAGATATACTATGATAAATGTTAAAATGCTTCATGCTAATTTCAATAAAATAAACTTCTTACTAGGACATAACACCTCAGATTTTCTTTACCCTTCATTCATTTCTTGAAATAAAAGTTTTTTTCCCCTTATTAACCCAAAATAAAATACTGAGCTTTAACAGTTAAAGTTCTTGCTGGCCTGCATCTGTTACTGAACTGTGCTTCATTTCTATATGAAATACGGAAAATTTTATTATAACATAAGTGAGTATATACTGTAGATATAAAATGCTCACCCCATCTCCTTCAGACAACCAGACACTTAACCAGTATTTACTAAATGCAGCAGTGGCAGACTGTATTAAAAACCAAACTAACACCAAAGCACACACTATGAAACCTCCTGCAGCTTCTATATAACCTACGTATGTGTTGTATGATATGGAACCAGTTTCTGTTTTCTCTTCTGTTGACAGCTGACCTATAAGGATAGTAAATCATTTATTGATTTAACATGTTTTATTTTATTTTGAAAGCAAACAGCACTTTATAGCCAGATACAAGTTTATAAGCATATCTTAAAATTTCAAAGCAAACAATAAAATAGACTGCCTGATTTTTTAGTAAGAAAATTGAGTTAAGAATTTATTGTAGGCAGAAACAGATAATCACAGGAAAACTTAGGCAGCACAAGCAGAAATGCAAGCATTATGTTTTACATGCCTTTAAATCCAAATACTAGAAATTTTAAATCTTAAGCAACATGCTAAGTTCTAAAATATATTTTACCTGCTTTCTTCTTGGCAGCTAAAATGTATAAATACTCACATTAAAATTTATCATAACCTAGGAATACAACATGAAGACAGCACAGAACATTAATATATGAAAAAAATAATACAGCTCAAAGACACCAAGAGACAAACAGTTTCAGGTTGAACACTTGAAAAATAATAACAGTTAATCTATGACCAAAATAAATAAAAGTCTAATGTTTCAGTTCATAAACAAATAAGAGGTACAAGAGAATAGCATACAATTTTTAGGAATGTATAAAAAAGTTAATGATAGAAATTCATTAAAAAGTACAGAAACCTTTTCAATTTTGACAGTTACAGTTTATTTGTTAAAATATATTTTCATTTTCCTATTTTCCATAAGATTTGCCATCATTACAAAAACTAGTTGACAATATAATATAGAAATATATTTCCAGAAAAATGTGCCATGATAGATTCCTTATATTCAATAGCTGCAGTTTTAAAAATCAGAATTTAGTCAATTTTACTAAGCCTTAATAAATTAATTGCTGGAAGATTATGTTAACAATAGCTAAGATGAAAAGTTTTTTAAGCAGCATGCACACACTGTTAGAGACTCTAAATTTAATTTTACCTTTATTACTTAATACGCCAACATGAAACTTAAACAGTGTATAACAATACAAGTTTAATAGTTATAAATCAGTATTAAAAACAAAGCACTATCATTGTGCCAGATATAAAACAAGAAGTGGAAGAAGAAATGCATAAAGAACAAGGTATGAAAACCAAGGTATTGATGACCATGTAATACCACTTACAATGCTAAAGGAAATTACATGAATTTAATTCAAGCTAGCAAGCTACCTAATTTATTTTTTCAAATATTTAGGTACAAAATAATGACAGTTAATCAGAGAAAAATCAAATATATAATTTCTGACAACTTTATAACAATTTAGTTCAAAACTTGATGAAAATATTTCCGACTCTCTTCTTCACACACAACCAATTGTTCAGAAAATCTCTCTCTATTTTAAAATGTTAAAATTTATGTAATGATAGAAAAAAGTTCTTCAATGTATAAAATTTCCAGCTTGTACTATTTAATTTTAATTCTTTAGAAATTTGATAAAAAATCTTAATACATTAAAAAAATAAACCTTTGATAAGAAATTCAGAATAAAACCTTCACAAATTCAATCACCAATTTTTCTTCCTGTCTGCCAATAAATATATATTGTAAAGAACTTCACTTTCAGTGGTAACTCACATTTGCTTTTACAACCAAATGGCTAAAGGTTGAATGAGGAAAAATTATCTTTTATTTATTTCTTTTAAAATATAATATATACAGTCTAAACTTTTAAAATGACTAGCACTAGAATAGCAATGATTCAAACAAAAAGCTTGCCTTGCACAGTTCAGTATGATTTTTTTATTTCTATTTTCTTACATGTCTCAATCACTACAGGTACTAAAATAAGTAACTGTAAATTTTATCTGTAATTGCAAACACAATTAAGAATTGATTAATTTCAGACTTTTTTATGAAAAAGGAAGACATATATAAGACTAATAACAAAATATAAATTTACTAATTATAAAACACAGTCTACAGGCAACAATTTGGAACTAGTAAGGCCTATGGAAAGTAAATCAAAAACTAGAATAAAACAAAATATTTTCAAATGAAAAATATATCTTTTCATTTTTATCAACTGCATTAGTGGCAGCCAAGGAAAATATATATAGAAGACATCGAAATGATATACGATACAAAGACTGAAATCTGGACATCCAATATTTAAACGTTCCAGCCCTCACAAAATTTGCAATGGAAATACTCAAGAAAAAGAAAGTGTGCAGAAAAAGTGATTTTTCTTTCGACTAAGACTATTGTATGTTATTTTCAAACACCTACAGACAAAAAAAAAAAAAAAAAAAACATTGCCCAATGCCAATACATGACCGATGCTGCATAGACCTCACCATACTTTCAACCCTTGAGTGATTTGGGAGTTAGTATTTTTCTACCTGCCCTAAACAACAAGTGAAAACCCCAAGACATACTTGTTAGGCATGATATGTTACACAAACGTTTTTCCGTTTTTCCTTTTATTGGTACAGCAACAAGGAAAGGACAAAAAATTAGATACTGAAGAATAGTTAACATACCAAACTACATTCTTTCTTAATTTTATCCAGTTTATTACTTTTTTTTTTTTTTTTGAAGGCCTGTTATTGTTACAGCTATCATATAAGAATTACAATCTGAATTTTTGATTATATCAAAAACAGCATCTATTTTTGGAGCAGAAGTAGGATCTGCAAAGTGAAAGCATGTTTTAATGTCAATCAAGCAAAATGTGGAATTGCTGCAAATAATGGATAAAGGCCTAATGCAAATAATTAATCTCAAAACTATGCGAGAAGCAAGGCAACAGAAAAACCGAAAAAGGAACTTTTCGAATTTATTGTAGAACCAAACACATTCACAACGAATAACAGAAAAATCATTAAAACTGCTGATTGAATGGGCCAGACAGAATCACAGTAAGGGTATGCCATTGAAAAATAAAATGCTAATGGCTCAAACCAAAATATGTCATGATTAAATGGAGTTAAAAATTATGTGCACATATTTGAAAGTTGATTAGCCAAATTTAAAAATTGCCATGGTATAAAGCTGTAAAAAATTTTAGGGAGAAAAGCTGATACTAATGCAGTTGAACAATTTGCAGATTACTTCATGGAACTTATTAAGAGCAAAAAGTTTTAGATCAAATTTATAATGCTGATGAAACTGGTCTTTTCTGCTAATATATGCTCTAATACCTTGGCAACCTCTGCAGAATATACAAATGCTGTCACAGATTTCAAAGTGAGACTAATGATTTTGGCATGTGCAAATGATGCAGACATGCACAAATGTGAACTTTCCACAATCGGAAAAAATACACAACCTTAGCATTTAAAGAAGTAAAAATTTTTCCTGTCTATTATGACCTGAGAATCACGTTACACCTCAGGCTCAGTTGCTTTACCAGATGATGCAAATATTGTTCTGATTACAGACAATGATTCGGCTTATACTTTACTAAAAGTTTTAATGAAAGATAACATCTCAGTCTTATTCTTTCCTCCAAGCTGTAGACCCATCATTTAGCTACAAATATCGATGTGCCGTGCACGCTGAAATGCAGATATAAAGTAGCCTTTTCAAAATCTATTCTGACTTTTCTGAAAAGTGACAAGACCATTTGAACGAAAAAAATTGACACAGCTTTTTGCTTCTATGTATAATGTTGAGCTTAAAATATTGTTTCTAAAATGTTATGTGCCACCACTGCCACTATCTAATGTTAAATATGAACCTAAAAAGTGCAGGGTTAAATAAATTTAAACTTTGATTTAATATATAATCATTGAAATATTCCTAAACGAACAAACAAGTATACTTAAATAAATAATAAATTGTTAAATAGAGCATGTTCTCAAGAGATTATATTTTGATTTTTTTTATGGTTTGGCTTATAATGAAAAATATAAAGATAAAATATAAAGATAAAAACTTTTAATGGGGGAACCTTACGAATATAGGGCATTAAATTCAAATGGGACACAAATCCCCAATAATGAAACAAATGTCATCATATAATCCAACATTTATTAGCATGTAACATCTCTGTATTGTGCAGATTAATCTGTTTAACTTTAGAGCAGCAGAATATTTTAATTAAAAAAAAAAAAGTGCACTGAAATTTTCATGGATTATAATAACTTGCTCTTTCTTTTCTAAGAAAAGAATATCTTCCAATAAAAAAAGAAAAAAGAAAAAAAAGAAAAATTCAATTTTCTATGGATTTTTTCAATACATCATTTTACTACTCCTTCATTTAAAAGATGCTGAAATTTTTGTTTCTTCACAAATCACTAGACTTAGCTTGAAAATGTTAATGAAGTCAGCTTCTTCAATGTTATGCTGAGCAATGCTTTTTCTCTTCTATTTATGATTCTCTTTTTGAATGGATCTTTACTATATAATAAATGTCTTCTGGAAATTATTTTTTCTTTTCATGTGAGAAGTAGGTAGAGTATTCAACACTTATTACATTCAAATTTTCGGCAACCAAAACGAATATATACAGTACCCATCACTTATTAAACTCACTGGTTAATAAATTCAATCACTTATTAACTTCAAATTTTTAGGAACTAAAGCAAAAGCATACTAATCAACAAGAAAACTGCCATTTACTAAACTCATCGCCATTGTTTAATTCAGATTAGCAAACAACTATTTTCTCAGTACAGAATATCCTACTTACATATATCAAAACTTTCATTGTTAATCCATTTAAGTATTGTGGACTGTGACTTTAGCATTCAGATATACAGTGCTATAATAAAATAGGATTGACTAATATTTTTCTATCCCTTGTCCCCTGTACATGTGAGACACTGTTTTTAGTGTCCTCATAAGCACTGCACTTAAGAAGGCAGAATTTACTTAACTTTAACAAAAACAATCCTCTTGAGGCATTGCAAATGAGTGTGGATTTCTTCTTGAATACCAGTTGATAGGAGGTGGAACTGCAACTTCTATATCATATCGCTTAAGATTTCCACATTCAAAATCTTCCCTTTGAGATAGACACATTATGCTCACAGAGAGTTATAAAAGAAGTGAAATGCTTCTAAGAACTGTCATGCATTTAAGAATCTTTGAATGGAAAGGAAGTGGTAAATGAAGACTGAAGAAAAAGCAAAAAAAGCATTGATCGTGCTTGCAGCCATGGAGTAACCTCTCTGTTGGTGAAATTTGAAAAAAAATCATTGGAAAATACTTTTTTTTTTTTTTTTTAATTCTGTTGTGAGCTTAATTTGTAATATGTCAAAGTGCCAAGGAAAAAGACTTTAACTTGAAAGTAAAGGATAAATTGTTAAAAGATTTTAATGTTCTTGTAATCACAGAGAAAAACTACATTTAAACTAGGAATTTCTCAAACTGCACAGTGCGATTTACTTAAACATGGATTTATA